ACACTGACTGGTATGAATACACCGACTGGTATAAATAAACTGACTGGTATGAAAGGAACACACTTATATACACTGACTGGTATGAATACACCGACTGGTATAAATAAACTGACTGGTATGAAAGGAACACACTTATATACACTGACTGGTATGAATACACCGACTGGTATAAATAAACTGACTGGTATGAAAGGAACACACTTATATACACTGACTGGTATGAATACACCGACTGGTATAAATAAACTGACTGGTATGAAAGGAACACACTTATATACACTGACTGGTATGAATACACCGACTGGTATAAATAAACTGACTGGTATGAAAGGAACACACTTATATACACTGACTGGTATGAATACACCGACTGGTATAAATAAACTGACTGGTATGAAAGGAACACACTTATATACACTGACTGGTATGAATACACCGACTGGTATAAATAAACTGACTGGTATGAAAGGAACACACTTATATACACTGACTGGTATGAATACACCGACTGGTATAAATAAACTGACTGGTATGAAAGGAACACACTTATATACACTGACTGGTATGAATACACCGACTGGTATAAATAAACTGACTGGTATGAAAGGAACACACTTATATACACTGACTGGTATGAATACACCGACTGGTATAAATAAACTGACTGGTATGAAAGGAACACACTTATATACACTGACTGGTATGAATACACCGACTGGTATAAATAAACTGACTGGTATGAAAGGAACACACTTATATACACTGACTGGTATGAATACACCGACTGGTATAAATAAACTGACTGGTATGAAAGGAACACACTTATATACACTGACTGGTATGAATACACCGACTGGTATAAATAAACTGACTGGTATGAAAGGAACACACTTATATACACTGACTGGTATGAATACACCGACTGGTATAAATAAACTGACTGGTATGAAAGGAACACACTTATATACACTGACTGGTATGAATACACCGACTGGTATAAATAAACTGACTGGTATGAAAGGAACACACTTATATACACTGACTGGTATGAATACACCGACTGGTATAAATAAACTGACTGGTATGAAAGGAACACACTTATATACACTGACTGGTATGAATACACCGACTGGTATAAATAAACTGACTGGTATGAAAGGAACACACTTATATACACTGACTGGTATGAATACACCGACTGGTATAAATAAACTGACTGGTATGAAAGGAACACACTTATATACACTGACTGGTATGAATACACCGACTGGTATAAATAAACTGACTGGTATGAAAGGAACACACTTATATACACTGACTGGTATGAATACACCGACTGGTATAAATAAACTGACTGGTATGAAAGGAACACACTTATATACACTGACTGGTATGAATACACCGACTGGTATAAATAAACTGACTGGTATGAAAGGAACACACTTATATACACTGACTGGTATGAATACACCGACTGGTATAAATAAACTGACTGGTATGAAAGGAACACACTTATATACACTGACTGGTATGAATACACCGACTGGTATAAATAAACTGACTGGTATGAAAGGAACACACTTATATACACTGACTGGTATGAATACACCGACTGGTATAAATAAACTGACTGGTATGAAAGGAACACACTTATATACACTGACTGGTATGAATACACCGACTGGTATAAATAAACTGACTGGTATGAAAGGAACACACTTATATACACTGACTGGTATGAATACACCGACTGGTATAAATAAACTGACTGGTATGAAAGGAACACACTTATATACACTGACTGGTATGAATACACCGACTGGTATAAATAAACTGACTGGTATGAAAGGAACACACTTATATACACTGACTGGTATGAATACACCGACTGGTATAAATAAACTGACTGGTATGAAAGGAACACACTTATATACACTGACTGGTATGAATACACCGACTGGTATAAATAAACTGACTGGTATGAAAGGAACACACTTATATACACTGACTGGTATGAATACACCGACTGGTATAAATAAACTGACTGGTATGAAAGGAACACACTTATATACACTGACTGGTATGAATACACCTATGTTTACCGAATAGTAGGATGACCATCTGAACCCTCCAAGAGGGTTGTGGGCCGTGACACCACGTCGTTCAAATGATTGAGTTGTACTTGTTGTGCCTCCTGTGCTTTTTTTTCTTCATCGACCTGTTTGATGAGCTGCTCTCTTTCCCACATAATTTCCTCCCGATCTCTTTGGCACTCCTCTTTCTCCTTGAGCAACACCTCGTGATCTCTTTGGCACTTTTCTTTCTCCTTTAATAGCTCTTCGTGATCTCTTTGGGGCTCATCTTTCTCCTTCAGCAACTCCTCGTGATCTCTTTGACGCTCCTCACAAAGAACCTCCAGTTCCGCTCTCATTGACTCCATATGTTTATCACGTGCTCGTGCCGCACTAGAAGCTGTGGAAGAGGGTTATGGGCCTATCCCACATCCACGCAAGTAATTATTTTTTTTCCCCGAGCACTTGCCTTGATAGTTCTTCCTGGGTAAATGGCAACCCCGCATCGGTGGCTACCACTTGTGGATTCACCATATCATCATGTCATGGCAAAAAAACAATAAAGTCAAGATGGCAGAAGGAATTTAAAACAACTTTTCTAATTGATATGCAACACAATTGGTTTCAACATTCAATACTAACATGTAGCTCACCACATTTGGGGTCAATCCAGTCTCCCGTCTTCTTGGACTTGTGTGATTTCTTATAAAATTCACGAAAATCTATATCTCCATCCTCATTTGCCTATTAGGTTTGTAAAAATTCCATTGATGAATTAGTACATAGTAATATTCAAAATCAAAAAGAATCAATCATCCATTACATTACTAAATTAATATCTTCTCACCATAAGTGACATTGCTATAGGAAATGATCGTGATCCACTTGTATGATTGTAGGGGAGCATACCCTTATTTGCTTTACCAGCTTTAGAGCGTTTCTAAAATAATAATAATAAAAAAAAGAATTAGTGAAGAATTTTTACATATTAACACATAAATTAATTTCAACAATGGAGATTCTAATTAATTTGTTACCAAGTGAGATTCGTCTTTCCAAGCAACATCAATCAGATATTTCTAATCCTCCAAGTTCACTCCACTAGGCGAATGACTATAGGGGTCATCAACACCCTTTTTCCTCAAGTTCGAGGAACTCTTGCTTTAGATTGTACCTCCAATCCTTGTATAGCAAATATGTCTTTCTATTGAGGATCTGTTGAGCTTGTTCATCATTATCAAAATCATCGCCGATAACAAACTTGTCCTACAAACATAATAAGAGAATTAGTGCATCAATTAATTTAAGCAATTATAAATAACATAATAAAGACATTATGGCAAGATGAATCTCATACTAGCACCGCTTGGATGACCGCATCTTTGGTACTTTGATCGATTTTTCTCCATGACTTCATACTCTGAAGAGGGCACAACCGTCTAATTTGCAATCCCAACTCATTCGTCGCTGGGGTGGCATTCCCTCCTGTGATTGCGTTCAACACCCGATTCACATAGACATGTAATTTCTCTCCTTTTTTCCTAGCTTTTTTTTTTTTTGCACTCCTTTGCCTAATGTAGGTCCTCGCACACGAGTTGACCTTGTTCGCCCTAGTACAAAAGGGGAAACAAGTCACAAATTACAAACATTGCTAATAAAAGTGAAAAATAATTGGTGCCTGCTGCCGTTAATGAAACTGTTGCTGCCTACTACTGTTTGGCTGCATAAAGTCTTGGTAAATTATGGTATAACTTGGATTTCACTGCTATCGATGCAACTGGGGCAACTGCCTGTTGGATGCTGCTGATGTTGCTGTTGTACCTGATTTCAAGCTTGTTTGCTTTTGTTTTTCTTTGTTGTGTAAGTGTCCTTGTTTTGTGTAAAGTAATGTTTTTTTTTCTTTGTTTTTCTTTGTCTTTATGGGGTTTTCATTGCCTTACTTTATGACTTATGCACCACAAAAAAAAAACAAATTTTTTTTAAACAATTAAGTTCAATGCTCTTACCCCCGCCACCTGGCTGCGTCTCCTCGACCACTGTTTGTGTATCATCTGGTGGCTGCGTCTCATCAGAGAACGTCAGTGGGGTGCCAATCTCCTATGGACGTGCTTCAGAGGTTGATAATACGTTGCCACTTGCTGCTCTCTTCTGCCGCCCCGTCTTGATTCCAGGAACCATGGTACCTACATTAAGTAACAAACATACATGAATAATAAACCATTGAAAATAATAACACTAGTAAATTGCATCTACTTTTGCATTCTAATAACCAACCAAGTTATTGAACCATCCACGTCTCCAAGCAACACAAAATGTTTTAGTAGATTAGTTTCCTTAATAATGACACAACATGTCAAAGTTCAATAATAAATTACTTGTTAATCATGGCTTTGTTCACTCATACATCTTCATTTCTTTGTTTTCCAATCAGCATCAGTTATTTTTCAACATGAAAACAAATGTTTAAAAGGAAAAGGCCATGAGAATCTCCAAGGTCTCTTGGAGCAGCTATGCTTAAAAATAGGGAGACCAACACACCAATGGTGTGTCAGAAAAAATATTACAACAAAGTGATAAACTTCATAAATGTTAATAATTAAAATCATAAACTTTTTCACTATTTTGTAATAATTTTTGAAAAGACCTCCTCAATAGTAATTTTCCCTTACAAATAAAACAAACAGATCACATTCCCAACCCAAACAGACCCATCCACCGAAAAAAACAAAGTTATAGATTCAACAAATTCAACATATTAAGCCAATCTCGATTTAAAACCAGCAAGTTGCTGCCTTCTGGTCTATGCGGCAAGTCCATCTAACAACCTCTACACAAGGAAAATGTGAAAAACATATTTCATGGTGTCATTGACACTTGTAATAATACAATTACATAGTGTGACAGTCACAACAACACATCTCCACAAATTGGTAATTTTGTTACAATTACATCTTACAATTTCTACTTCAATGAGGGCACGTCCCAGAAGCGCAAGAACCAAAGAAAGGCACATTATTCTAACTTCAGGGGTGAATGTATGTGCAATAAAAAAAAACTTGGACATTTAGGCCTAGAATACTACTAAAATTTCTCAAAAGAAAATCTCAAAGGCAGTATTAAATTTTCCTTTAAAAAAAAAAATTAGGGAGCATATAATACTACTATAGTAGGGGGTTTTCAAAACTTTTGGGGGGGCGGTTGCCCCCTGCAGCCCCCCAGGTCCATCCCTGGCGACAACTGAATGAGGCAAGGGCTAATGGAAGTTGAGAACCATACACCATTTTCCGACTAAGCCATCCTCCATATTCATCTTGAAGAACCTGAGGTAGGTCAACGTGCGTTAATGTAGCATGTGGTTGGATTCCTGCTTGATAAAGATAAAATTATATCTATGGCAGAGTGAGAAAAAGAAAGAGAAGCCAAGTGTCATTTGGTTAGCATTTTGGAAGTACCTCTTCTTGCTTTTACAAGAAAAACAAACTGGTTTGATATTTTCTCAAATGCTAACAAAAAGTAATGCAATGTTTATAATGGAAAATTCAAATTTGTGTGTAACCATGTTTGACAAGTTCATTGATGAGATTGTTGTAGTATTCTAAACCCTTTGGGTTGACAGGTCCTCTTCCATCTGTAAAAGAGAGTGAGCACAAGCATGTGAGAGAGAAGAACCAGACTTTGCTTTTTGTGTAATAATCAAGGTAATTACGTGAGAGACAGACAGTTAGGTGATCTTACTAGGGATAAGTCTTGACCAAGATATGGAGAACCTATAAGCCTCCAACCCTGTTTCCACCATGAGTTGGACATCTTCCTGCAAGAGATTCATGCTCCAAATCACACATGGACCATACTCCAGCTACCAATAAGTTTGTGATGTTATTCATGTTAAAAATCAGCATTCATGTTAAACCACCATTTTGTATACCTCATTAATTTTCTTGTTTGAAAATAATTATTAAGAGCAAACAAATTATATAATACCATATAAGTCGATGACATAAAGAAGTAAAATAAACAAGTAAATATATATCATTCTTGAAAGGAAAAAGCATAGAAAAAAAAAGAAGGAAAAACACCTTGTATTTGTGGTATCCATCACATGCTACGTCCCCAGTGGCTCCTTGCGCTTTCCCTTAAAGTTTTGAGTTGGAAACATATATCAATCAGTTTTTGGTCAGGATGATAAATGAACCAAACAGTTTAAATTAAATTTATTAAAATTCTTTTGAATTCAGTTTGTCAAATAAGTCAGTTTTGAAATCATTTTGGAGAGCTTTAAAATTTTTAAACCAAATATAAACATAGCCAATTATTCATTCAAGTAGGTTCGACAACTCTAAAACAATATAAAAATAGCTAACTATCTCATATATAAATTTATATATCAGATATAACAATTTATCACATTAGTAAACTATACAAACCATTTCCTTGAAATTTACAAAAATTATAATTTATCCCATTATTTTAACATAATTATACCCAATCATGCAAAATATTTAGTAAATGACCCCATTACTCTTTTCTATTTCCCCGTGCAACCATCTCACCTCAGAATCACATCCCAGCACCATCGATCAGTCACTAAATTTATGATTCTCTCTCTTCTCTCTCCTCGAATTCTCTCAATCTATCACCTCAGTGAATGACCCCATTACTCTTTTATTATATGTATGTTGACTACATATTTTGTATAGACCAATCACAGTTCAACACGTGGCAGGATGAGAGCAACACAGGAAGACAATTCAAATCTTCAAACGTAACCACACACGTGACAGTTAGCATTGGTTATTGTGAATTTGCATAGCACTAGATCAGCAAAGAGATGCAAGAGAACGTAGCTTTAACGGTTACTCATATGTTTAAATTCAAAATCAGGAGAGAAGCCTACCTGCAGACATGGCGTAATAGAGCTAACTGTGAGGAAACATAATCAGTGATCATGGAGGAATGATTCGACGTTTAGAAGCTCATTTCGATGGTTATCATTGAGAAGTATAAATAGCAGAGAAGGCCCCAGAAAGAAGAGGACTCAGATCCAGAAACTAATTTTTATCTACTTTATTTTCCTTCCAGTTTTTACATTTCTTGTTCTTTACATTCATGTACTTCAAATTCCTGCACTGCACTTCATTCATAAGAGTAGTTTCAAGTAGCTTGTTGCCGTAAACCTCTACGAGGCTGAATTAGACCATTGTAAGTTTTTCATTTTTACTTAATAAATCAAACCTGATAAGCAGTGGTTCCTGAACCGAAAACAAAGTCAGGAGGGAATGGAAACTCATGTCTGCTCAATGTTTCTGCGCAAAAGACTAGGTTGAGCACCACAACAACAACAAATGACCCAACAAAACACAGGTTCTTCTTTGCCATATCTCTATCTATCCTCTCCTCTCCTGTGTTATTTCTATCTATCCATATCTAGAAAGTGCTTTAATGATATGGCAAGTTGTTCACACATTCATTGATTTAAATGAAGCCAAAACACAATCACTATCAGTGCAGCTTCATCCTTTACATAATGCCCCCCACTACACTTTGGGTCCCCCCAGTTTGGAATTTAAAATTTGTCCCCTTTCTTCTCAAACATAATGGGGTTGTTTGATATCTGCTTATTTAACTATTTATAAGGATAATTTTGTCTAGGATGGACTTCTCTCCCAATTGTTCAATGCAAAATGACTTTTTTTTAGTATATTATTAAAATTATACTTATCGTCTATTTTTTAACAATAAATTAGATGCATACAATTATTAAAGAGGGAATTCCATCCCGGTGGGGGAAAAAAAAAATTTCACAAACATGAGTCACTTGCATCCCATCACAAAACTACTTACACCTCACATTATTTTGTAATTTTTTTTTATCTATTCCATTGTGTTAAAATTCTCCCATTATTAAATTGACCTAATTTTTTTTATAAATTATTTATAAATATAAGCCTAAAAAATGACTAGAATTAATCATCAAAATAGACAATGTAATACTAAAAAATTATCAATCTAAATGGTTCAATCAATATTTGTACTAAAGAAATGCCCAATTCTTTTGTCCATTAACAAGTTTACAAACACAAAACTCATTACATAAAACAATCACAGTTATACATGTTAAATGATAAACCCATCATAAAATATATAATTTCACTCAAACTATTTCACTTATATATTATGTGGCTGTGATTAATTTTATGGTCCATTTTGTATATGTAATTTTGTTGTTTGTTTTTACATACTAAAGTCTTACAAATCACATCATGTAAAGACAATCCCATGTGACTACATCCCTTTATGTTACATATTTGATTGTGTGCCTTGATGGTCCATACTGTGTTTTTATGCCTTTGGACAAGCTAATAGAGCCACACAATTATTAAAGATATCTCTAATTGGGTCCACTCTAGTCGTCATGAAAAAAATTTTAAGGTTAACACATTATTACTCTATTACTTGTACTAGATACGTCCCTTACCTTATCATATTATATATACCCTACTTATTAACTATTTCAATGAACTTGTTAGTTTAGTATGTACTAAAAAGAAAAATCTTGTGTATTTTCGTAATTTATTTCACTACTCTGTAAATGATAAAATCAATATGATTATAACATTACGTCATGTGAAGTAATTTTTGAATACACAATACAATTTTCATAAATTTTCAATTAAAAATATTCATCCTAACATCAAAGAATAAGATGATATATACAATTTTTATTGTGGACTTTGAATAGGGTTTAATTTTTCGAAAAAAATTAATTTATCAACTCAACTAAATAAGAGACAAAAAGGTTTACAGAGCAAGAAGTAAAATTATATATGAATAAAACCCTAAGTTATTGTGGACACAGGTCTAAATTTGTTGACATGAAATTAGATGTGTATTGTACAAGTAATGTCAAATAAACAAAAATAAGGTAAATTACACTAACCTTTATTGGCATGAAATTTGCCCTTCTGAGATTTGAGAAAATGTAATAAAACTAGAAATTTAATATAATTATACCGACTTCCATTTTAATAATGATAAAACAAGAGTAACTAATGCAAACGATGTACAAGCAAATTCTTAATTAAAAGTAAAAAACGTAAAAAGAGACAACAAATTTTTCTTAGCATAACAAATAGTTAGGAGGGCAAAATGTTATAGGAATTCAAAAACCTTACAAGAACACAAGTGTAATTATTCCAAACATTTCAAGCTTGCTATATTTTTCTTAAAAGTTAAGAGAAGGTTATTGTAATTTATTCATTTTTTCAAAATTTATTAATGATCTATACACATACTTAAAACATGAAGGGATCATTAAAATAAACCCAAAAAAATTACTTCAACCAAACCAATCCTCCAAAATTACATATGGTGGCGCTTTTGTGAGTGTATGTAACATGTAAAAATATTAATTTATTTAAGGTTTTGTTTATTAGGTTTGTGTGATTGAAGTAGGTGTTTGGAGTTGGTGCTGGAATATTATTTCTAAGCGTTTGGAGTAAGTAGCCCTCTATCACTATTGGTACATTTTTATTCCTATTGAATCGTTTAAAATTATAAGTATTTATTTATAGCATTCATGTTCTCTTAAAATAAAATATGGGTCAAGTATAAAACAGTATTGAATATTATTATGAAAATTATTTGAATATTTTGTGAAACTACTCTGAAAATTGTACTAAACGTTTATTCTGAAAATATCAAATGTTTTATTTAAAATTTGTATATTGTTTGAATTTTGAACATCACTCTAGTCTGGCTACGATTTGGACTCTAGCCAATGGGGGTTATTTATTGGCACAGAAACTAGTTTCTTTTGGGGCTTTACCACCGGCCTATGTGTGGTTCTGGGCCTTGTCACAGCCTAAGTGACCGTAGTCACCAAGACTTGGGTTTTGTGAGTCAAATCATTGAACCATCTGAATATTGAACCATCGATTTGAACGACGAATTTACTTTGAATTATCTTGTTGGCTTTTCAATTAAAATGTATTGTACATTATTTATTTTTAGCTATGAAACCATCTTACAAATAATTGTTCATTTATTGAATTGTAGCAAAAATTATATTTATTGGTTATCGACTATTTAATTTTTTTTGTATACTTGATCCAGCTAGCAATGATAATTGGTTATTTACTGAGTTGTCTAGCTTACCCTTATTTTATTTATTTTTTTCAGATTCTGAGGAATAGAGCTGCACGGGATTTTTACTTAGGGAGTGCCGAGAGAAGGACTATGATTTAAGTACTTAGATTGTTATTTTGGTTAGTGGATTATATTAATGGACTTGGTACTTAGATTATTATTTTGGTTAGTGGATTATATTAATGGACTTGGTGGACAATTTTATATGATAAGAATTATCTATTTTTATGGATTTAAGCATTTTGATATTTAAGGATTTAATTTGAGTATTTTACATTGTTGGTTATGTGTTGGACTCTTATCCTTGCATGCTCACTTAAATGAGTGTGCGGCATTGTCAAGGAGCTTGGGGCGTGACATTAATGATAGTCTGAAAAATTATTTTTAAAAAAAATATATTATAAATATTAATGGTTAAAATTATATATTTTGTTTTATTAACATATAATAATTTTTGAAGACCGATCCCGAATGGTAATTTCCCTTTAATCATAGCCTAGAGGTATATTTCAAAAAAAGTTGTAATCCATATTCAACTTTTGATTAGTTGTCGTTTGATAATTGATTTTTTTAGTTAATTTTTTAATTTTTTTGACTATTTAACTTGAGATTAAAAATTTGTTTGGTTTGAATTTTTTTAGCTTTTTTAATTTTTGTGAAAGAAAAAATAAAATGATTTTAGTTTAGATGTGACATTTTATTTTATTAACTTATTTAGCTTATTTTGTCTTTTGTACTTTTTTTAGCCAAAAAGCCAATGCCAAAGTCTGTGTTTGGTTGGAGGAGTTGGGAAGAGATTTAGAAAAAAAAAAATTTAAAAAAAATATATGTGAAATTATATGAAATATAAGCATATTTTATTCACATTTTATCTTATCTTTTTTTTTTTCTTTTCTCTTTTCAAATTTATTCCCAAATCTCTAAGCCAAAAGACAGCTTAAAGGAATTGAAGATAGAACACAATTGGAGATGCTTTAAAGGCAGCTCCGAATATGGATAGAGAGAATTCAAAGAGAAAAATAAAACAAAATTTACTCTTAAAAATGAAATAAAGAGGACAAGAAAATGACCAGCATGAGCAAAAGTGTCCCAAATGCTAGCAGTCCTTCCGTCTTGGAATGCAGCTCCCTCTGACTTTTATATACACAACACACACATGCACATAATTGTAAAAAATAACAACATTAATCAGAATCTTCTTTCATTATATAATCCAAATCCATGTTCTGCATTTTGAGCCTCCCAAAAAAAAAAAAGAGCATAATAATGAATAATAAATCAAACCTGATAAGCAGTAGTGGTTCCTGAACGGAAAACAAAGTCAGGAGGGAATGGAAACGCATGTCTGCTCAATGTTTCTGCGCAAAAGACTAGGCTGAGCACCACAACAACAACAAATGATCCAACAAAACACAGGTTCTTCTTTGCCATATCTCTATCTATCCTCTCCTCTCCTGTGTTATTTCTATCTATCCATATATAGAAAGTGCTTTACGCTGTGTTTGGTTAGGGGATTTGGGGAGGAATTTGGAAAGGGAAATGGAAAAGGTAGGTGAAATATGAATAAAACATGCCTATATTTCACCTAGTTTGACACACATTTTTCCTTTTCATTTCTAAATTCCTTCCCAAATCCCTCAACCAAACACAACATTAATGATATGGCAAGTTGTTCACACATTCATTGATTTAAATGAAGCCAAAACACAATCACTATCAGTGCAGCTTCATCCTTTACATAAAGCCCCCCACTACACTTTGGGTCCCCCCAGTTTGGAATTTAAAATTTGTCGCCTTTCTTCTCAAACATAATGGGGTTGTTTGATATCTGCTTATTTAACTATTTATAAGGATAATTTTGTCTAGGATGGACTTCTCTCCCAATTGTTCAATGCAAAATGACTTTTTTTTAGTATATTATTAAAATTATACTTGTCGTCTATTTTTTAATAATAAATTAGATGCATACAATTATTAAAGAGGGAATTCCATCCCAGTGGGAGAAAAAAAAAATTTCACAAACATGAGTCACTTGCATCCCATCACAAAACTATTTGCACCTCACATTATTTTGTAATTTTTTTTTATCTATCCCATTGTGTTAAAATTCTCCCATTATTAAATTGACCTAATTTTTTTCATAAATTATTTATAAATATATGCCTAAAAGATGACTAGAATTAATCATCAAAATAGACAACGTAATACTAAAAAATTATCAATTTGAATGGTTCAATCAATATTTGTACTAAAGAAATGCCCAATTCTTTCGTCCATTAACAAGTTTACAAACACAAAACTCATTACGTAAAACAATCACAGTTATACATGTTAAATGATAAGCCCATCATAAAATATATAATTTCACTCAAACTATTTCACTTATATATTATGTGGCTGTGATTAATTTTATAGTCCATTTTGTATATGTAATTTTGTTGTTTGTTTTTACATACTAAGGTCTTACAAATCACATCATGTAGAGACAATCCCATGTGACTACATCCATTTATGTTACATATTTGATTATGTGCCTTGGTGGTCCATACTGTGTTTTTATGCCTTTGGACAAGCTAATAGAGCCACCCAATTAAGATATCTCTAATTGGGGCAACTCTAGTCGTCATGAAAAAACTTTTAAGGTTAACACATTATTATTCTATTACTTATACTATATATACGTCCCTTACCTTGTCATATTATATATATCCTACTTATCAACTATTTCAATGAACTTGTTAGTTTAGTATGTACTAAAAAGAAAAATCTTGTATATTGCCGTAATTTATTTCAGTACTCTGCAAATGATAAAATCAATATGATCATAATATTACGTCATGTGAAGTAATTTTTGAATACACAATACAATTTTCATAAATTTTCAATTAAAAATATTCATCCTAACATCAAAGAATAAGATGATATATACAATTTTTATTGTGGACTTTGAATAGGGTTTAATTTTTCGGAAAAAATTAATTTATCAACTCAACTAAATAAGAGACAAAAAGGTTTACATAGCAAGAAGTAAAATTATATATGAATAAAACCCTAAGTTATTGTGGACACAGGTCTAAATTTGTTGACATGAAATTAGATGTGTATTGTACAAGTAATGTCAAATAAACAAAAATACGGAAAATTACACTAACCTTTATTGGCATGAAATTTGCCCTTCTGAGATTTGAGAAAATGTAATAAAACTACAAATTTAATATAGTTATACCGAGTTCCATTTTAATAATGATAAAACAAGAGTAACTAATGCAAACGATGTACAAGCAAATTTTTAATTAAAAGTAAAAAAGGTAAAAGAGACGACAAATTTTTCTTAGCATAACAAATAGTTAGGAGGGCAAAATGTTATAGGAATTCAAAAACCTTACAAGAACACAAGTGTAATTGTTCCAAACATTTCAAGCTTGCTATATTTTTCTTAAAAGTTAAGAGAAGGTTATTGTAATTTATTCATTTTTTCAAAATTTATTAATGATCTATACACATACTTAAAACATGAAGGGATCATTAAAATAAACCCAAAAAAATTACTTCAACCAAACCAATCCTCCAAAATTACATATAACACTAGCAAGATTGAAAATCCATAAGAAACAAAATCATCTGATGACAAATAAATGAAAAATGTAACAGTTTTTGTTGTGTATCTCACAATCATTATGTCAAATACAACACATTAGCAACATTTATTTGAATAAACTAACTGGCATACAGTTTTGCAAAGCAAAGCTACTGAGAAGAGTGAGACTGAGAAAGAGTACTACTGCAATTAATCTTCTGCTCAACTTCAATGGCACCATCAATGGTCTTTCCTTTCAAAAAATTGGAGTACCAATGTGCAGAGAGTTTAGGGTATCTTTTCAAATCCTTGTCATTCAAATCTACGTAGTAGAGGCCATATGAAGATTCAAGGCCGTCCAATAACTCAAGTAAATCTATGAACGACCAATAGAAATACCCTCTTGCATTTGACCCATTCCTTCCACGATGTCAAATTGAAAAAACAACAAAATAACTAATATCAGATGCAGGAAAGCCAAAGATTCTATTAAGAATAACAGTTTGATAGCAATAATGCTATGTACACAACAACAACAATAACAATATATATCTATATATATATTTGTAACCCAAATTTAATGGAACCATACACCTATAATAATAAAAATGAACCAAATATTGATTTTTTTTAATCCGTTGAGTCTTGACCAATATATGTCCTTCAACAATGCTACAACACACTTACTTTTCTACGTACTTTGTGTGTTTGTAACTTTTGCGTCTCTCCTTATTAAATGCATATCATTCAAATGTCCAAAATTCCATATGCTTAAACCAGAAGTGGGAAGTGGGTAGGATTAGTCTTATGTAACATAAAAAAAAAAGACATAAAAATGGATTCTATTTCTATTGGCGTGAGGTTATGGAATTTTGGTGTACCAGCTTATTGTAAAACTAAACATACCTGATAGCATCAAGCAAACTCCCAAGGAAACCGCGTAAATATTTCACCCTTGCTGAATCATTACATGTTGCATTCCTCCACATTCTTTGACCTATATCAAAATAAAAACAAAATTCATCAAAGTATCAGCAATTAGATAATGAATGACACCCAATTAATACATCATATGAACTGAAATTATAAACTCTAGGGATTAATTAGATGAATTTGATAGTTTAAGGATAAAATAGAAAAAATGTCAATAGTTTAGATAATAAAAATGAAATTAACCCATATTTAATTTTACATCTGTTAAAGACAATGTGATTTATGGCTTAGGATGTAACAAGGATATGAAAGAGAGAGAGAGAGAGACCATTTTCATGGATGTAAATAGGAGGGTTTCCATAACGTTGCTTGAAGTACTCCAAAAGCCGTAGCAGACCTGAGGGTGTAACAGCCAGCTGAATCAAAAACAAAACAAAACTGTTTAGTAGAAAATAGGCCTTAAAACTAAAACTTGATAAAATTTATTTTAGTTCTCACCTCACCTGTCGATGCATCACCTTGCTGATCTACAACCACCCAAAAATCAGTGACCCATATATTAGATCCATCAATCAATTATATAGGTTGCAAAATTGATTTACTTGATATAGAGTAACATCATGGTTGGCTTATCAAATTAGAAGACAAACACAAATCAAACTATGCAAGTTGGTAAATATTAACAATGTTCTTTTTGGGGGGAAAGGGTTTTGTCAAAACAAAAAAAAAATATCTGCATTTATTGACATTAAGTATGACGAAAAATTATTGTTAACAGAAAATATGAGTTATTTAAGCGGAAAGTATTTTTCATTTTTCAAATTTAGAAATGCTAAATCTTATCACCACCACTGTTAATAGTCATTGTCACTATCACAACCCTCCTACCACCACCAGTACCAGTATCACCACCTCAACTAGTGCCAATGCTGCTGCCACCACCCCCTCCCAACTCCCTACCACAACCACTGCCACCACAACTACTAGCACATCATTTTCAGGATTGCAACCGAACATTGAAAAAGATTTTCTGTGAAAAGACATTCTGAAAAATGTTTTCCCAGTAAAAATGTTTTCTATTCAAAAAAGTAAGTGTAAGAGGTTGTGCAGAGTTCATCATCAGTGAACTCAACAAAGTTGAGTGAAGCTGAAAGTAAATCCAACTTGCAAGTAATCTTTGTATCAAGTGTAATCAGTATAGCGAGTGACAGTAACATACAGATTGTCTACCAAAAAAAAAAAAAAAGAAGCACAGTAACATACAGATCAACTCGATAGCCATGTCTGCATTGAAGTCTCTGGTATCCATTTTCAAGGTGCTAGATCTGTCCTTAATATAAACTGTGCTGTAATGGTTCACTCCTATGAAATCAAATGAACCCTTCACTTGTTCTGATTCAATTTTTGTAAATGCAGGGAGTCTTGTCCCTGCGTTCTTCTTCATTATGTCAGGATAGTCTCCGAATACCAGGGGATCCATAAACCTTCAATAGAATTAGAATTTTGTTTTCAAAAACATGAAAAATGAAAACACAAACAAACAACCCATAATTTGTTAAAATAATAATCCAAGATGCATAGACATCAGTTTATGTATTTAGGTTTGGGAATTGTGACTCACCAACCAATTAAAAAATCATTTGTTCTTTGGGCTGCAATCACGTCTTTTGTTGCATTTGTGCAAGGGACAGGCCAATAAACATAGACATTCATCCCTATGAATCCTTGTTGCCTGCCCTGTTACATCACATTTTCCCCAAAATTATGAAACATTTTATGTGATATTTCTTTCATGATTGCCAAAATTAACGGAAAAAAGAATGATGTCTCAAGATGATGAGTGTGGAATCCACGAGTAGAGAGGAAATTTCATTTTTTTTTTTCCCTTTCAAATATAGGCTTTGGCTAAGATTGGCAAGTTCTCGGAGTTTATGAGGAAGAGTTTATGGATATAGAAGAAAAGCAAAACCGTTAAAATGATTTTTTTTTTTTTTTTTTGGATAAATAGGTCATATTATAACCAAAAAATAAAGATATACAATGAAATTCAATACACATTTTTTGGTAAGAAGAACAAACATAAATAAAAAAACAAACTCCTCCCTCAAAAGAAACAAACTAAGCCTATAGATGACAAACACAACATACATAACAAAGGATTCAAAATTTCCCTGTAGCACTCTTCAAGTAATGAAGTTTCGCTTTGAGTTTTCTTCTGTTATACTCCTTTATAGTCTCCCCATTAACGGGAACACTTGGAGATGGATTCCCTCTACTTTTTAGGCTCTTCGTTTGACACAACAACTCTTGATTTAATTCTCCATTCCCCAACTCTCCCATATCACATGATTCAAGGACATCAAAAGCATTAGATGTTGATGGGGTGAAACACTGCGTCTCTCCCTCTTGTTTATCATTATCGTTGAACATTGTCCACCATCTCTCCCTTTTTTCTTCACCACTTCCCATTTGGTTGGAACTTGT